TAACCTCTGTGGTCCCATTCTGTCCTTGTCAGTGAGACAGGGCATTGTTCTCACCCTGGCGGAGTGCAATTCTAGCAGCTTGAAGCTTTGTGTGGAATTCGTAGGCCACCAGCTGCCATGAGCAGCTCCAAGAAAGGTGTCCCTTCAGTCATCCGCCGGCTAAACTGGAGCCTGGAAGAGGGTCGTGCTGAGTGCCGTGCAGTGCAATAATCATACACGTTATATAATTCCAGTTCTATGCTGAAAGCATTCTGCAGATCAAGACTAACATTTCAGCATATTCCCTTTTTCGGTGAAATTGTGTCATTCTGATGGCAACTGTTCGAAACCCCCTGTAGAACACCACCTTAATTACAGAGGGATTACCAGTTGGTTACTCCTGGTGACATTTTGGCGCTGCATTTAAGATTTTGCATTGTCCCCTCCAACCATTCTTGCAGCGGTGCTGCACTGTTCTCTACAAGCTTTTGTAGCCTCAAGAGGAGTCAGCCAAGGTACGGCCCACCCACAATCCTCCAGTGACTTTAGCCAGTATTCCTGGGGCTCCTTTGCAGCACGCAAAGTACACAGGGCTATTGTGACCTTGTGGTCGGTTTTCATAGAGTCCCATGCTGACTTGAAGAACCACTGGAGCAGTGATTTCTGTGTATGACCATGCAAGGAGGGAGGAGTACATCTACCCAACCAGCAAAGCTAAGAAGCACTTCACCCAAAAGGGCAGAACCTTGGATCATCTTTTCTCTACAACAGCAACACTCATTGGGTATACGAGAAGGGTAATATACCAAAGCTGTTCTCTTGTCGCTCCCAAGTGTCCCCCTCTGGGTGTGGGTGGGGCTGGAGGAAGAAAGAAAGTAATTGTCAGTCAGACACAACCTGGACAACAACTCCTGAGGCTACAAAAGCTTGCGAACAACCTCTGATGTAGCTGCAAGAAAAGCTTCAGAAGGTAGCGTGAAAGTTCCAAGACTGCTCTCCACTGCACTGCCCTGTGTAGCTGTGGTGTGAGATGCACTGAAGGAAAAAGTTCCTAAAGTAAGTTAATAAGCTAAAACGTTAATAAGAGAAATAAACTGTCATGTTGCATATTGTTTTTTCTAAAGATATCAGAGAATAGTTGTAGAGCACTTTAATGTGTTGGAGAGCACAAAAATGATGTTTCTGATCTTGCACAGCTTAATTCAGTACATATGACATTTTTATTTACATATTACATTTTTAGTTACATTTTACTTAGTGCTTCCATCTGCACAAACATTTCAATCCATCTTAGGCCCTGGTGGATTTAGTTATGCCCCATGGGCTTAATCACATTTTATATAATATAACAGGATAGTGGCCATCTTGGAAAATAACCACCAATGCCCCTAAAGGTTCTGAGAATGCTGTGAAAACCTGATGCTTAAGTGCACAATCCGTTCACTTAATCAGTTGGCTTTCAGCAATTAAAAATTGATTATGTATCATAGTGATTTTCAGGTTGTATGTATGGCCCAAAGACCCTTGCCACAATCTCTTTTCTTTTCCTCATCAGTGGTTTGGCCATGAAAATGATTGAATGAATTTCTTCAGGTTTCAGCTTGTCTGACCCTGGGGTAGAATCTTTACCTTCCCCAAAACTGCTGACTAACAATATTTTTGGCAAACTACTTACTGTATTTTTATCTCTGTGTATGTTTAATTGAGGATCCCTTGTGTTCGTTAATGTCCATTTCACCATATTTCCATCTGTATTCCATCAAATACATTAGAAACAGGAAGACTGTAAATGTCAGCGAGATTGTATGAATGAATGTGACAGATAGCCAGCAATTGGTTAACAAGCCGCACATTAATCAGCAGACTTTAAAGCAGATGTGTCCCAGCTGGTAGGGAGTGAGTTTCTAAGTTGATCATTATCTGTGGCCCCGGCAAGGCTTGTTCATGTGTGTTGTGTTTTAAAGTATATTTGATTTTTTGACTTTTCATCCTGCCGTTTTATATGTAATGGATCAGCCACTGACTTGCAAGTCCACATAGAAGTGATTAACCAAATGTGCTTGTATGTTACTTCTTCTCAGGAAAGCTGCGATGGAGAGGGAGTTCTCTGAAGCTCACTGGAAGGCATCAAGTGTGTCCAAGTTCCTTTCCAGCTGGAACTTAACTTGGTCTGATGTCACATAAAGTCACAGGCTTCACAGTTTGACCTGTGACACGAAACCAGCTGAGAGAAACCAGTGCCTGCAGTGTTTGCCTGTTGTCCTGGTAACGTAGGCCTTTCCCATTGGGTCTCATTGATTAGAGAAATGAGAGGTGTGTTTCTCTCAACCTTGGGAAGGCATAAATTCTGCAAGAGTAACGCACAAGAATAAAAATTCACTGGATGGAAGGGTATCAGAAACCTGTTGTGGGTGAATGATATTCTGCACCAGTAGATTATTTGCACTTTTCTTACCATGATGGTAGATGTCCATCTGTGTATTTTCCCTACCCGAGCACTTGAGCAAAAGCCACATCTTTTAGTGCATTTTAAGATGAACGTTTACCCTAGTCTTTCTTTTCTTTTTGAACTGTTATTTCCTGTCCCGTTATGATTTTATTTACACTTTGTATTTTTGTGACTAGTTCATACAAATAGGGAGGGGTCCTACAATTTTTAAATTTTTACTTTTGGAATCTGAAGGCATGTTAAAAAAAGTCTCTAAATATTTCCAAAATTAACTTTGATGTCCCACCCCCTGCCAATATACAAAAAAACTGTAAGGAATGGTTCTTATTCTACATGCTGAGTAACTTTACTTTTGACATGTGCTGAATTTAGCCCATTGCTAAGAATGGCATGTCTTCAAATCAATAAAGCCTTTCAAATGTTGCATTCTATTTAATGGTGTGAATGTGAATGAGGAAAGTAAAAAATACATCTTTTGTAATATTATTGAATTTTTATTTTGTATATTAAAATTTGAAAGTCCCAATTTCAATTGGAACTCTTTGTATCCATGCTAACCACTGCTTGTTAGTAGGGTTCAGCTGATTCATTTATAATTGCTCTATGCTTGTGATTTTTTTATTATATGTGATATTTTCCTATGCTACAGTTGCGTCACTCTAAAAATACTGTTGATTTTACTTAAAATTCAGTTTAAATGTTAGTACTGTTGTAAGTCATGAGATGTGGATGAAAAGTCTATCAAAGATGTCTACTTGAAATAACCTACCAAAAGCTTGAAGAGTGTTTCTCCATCTCATATTTCTTTAGCTCTTCATGCTGTTTGAACTTAGCAGTTTGTCCATATATGGTAACCATGCATTATTTGACTGTGACAGGGAATCAAAGCCAACAGTATATACATGTTCGTTTTGAGTCTTTTCAAGACAATCTTGAGGAAAGTTAACTGAAGTTTCCTCTTTAATGAGTGGTTTGCTATTTTCTAAGTAAAAGTCATGAGTGTTAATATTTTTTATTAAAAGAAAGCATAACACATGTATTAAAATTACTGATTAAGTCATGATATTAAATACATTTCTCTAAAGCACCAGCAGTTACAACATCTTTTGAGTGCCATTTTCAAAATATGCTTCTTTTCAAGAATTATTTTCATAAAATGAGTGCTGTTTAAAATGTTTAGATGTGGATTTTTCTATATACTCTTAAAGTGTCCTTATGTTTTTTTGTTTTTTTTTTAAATATATTTGGAACAGAATGTTGACTGAATGCATTTTCTGAAGGGAGTTTGGGCGAGGTTATTTTTATTGTTTACATTCAGAAGACTGTCTGCATTGAAACAATTCACTCTCTCTGTGTCTTGTGGCCACTTGCTTGTGCCTACATGCACTGGCATTTATCTAGTTGGCCTGTAAAAACCTCTTCCGCTTTGTGAGCTTATGCTTACAGGCAGGTATGGGGGCTGCAGGCAGTTAAGGGGGCTCTTACTGGGTCTATTGCCTAAAATAGTGTGCTGAGATTATCAAATGAAAATACACAAATCTCATCCTCCACCAAATTCAGAAGGTCTCCCAACAATGTCTGTCAGTACCACAGATATTAGGTCAACTGCATGGATTATGCTGCTGCAAAAGGCTCACAATAAGACCTGTTACAAAAGATAGTAACTATTTCAAATGTATTATGGCTGTGTGTTTTATTGGACACAAAAATAATATAACAAATGTTTGTTAGAGGAAAGACCAGGAAGAATTTTCTGTGCCAGTACCTAAAAGAGGAGACGATAAGGGAATTTACAAGTCGTGACATTCTACCTGTTAGGGTCTCTACTCTACTGAGCAAAGTGTCAACAAGTTGACATGGGTCTGTAATGTTGGCATGTCTCTGAGGATCCAAGTGAGATCAAGCATGACAGTAGGCACTTTTCAGACTATATCTTAAAATATCACCAAAAAAAGTTAATCTGTTACATCACCTCAACAACTTTTGTCTTTATCCTGTCCACATTTTTGCTCCTCCTTTAAATGTAATGAAAGGTGGCTGATTTGATGTTGAGGATGCAGATATATTGTCTTCTTCATAGCCTCACTTGTGTGTAGGTTTTATGAGGCTATTTGAATGACCGTGGTTGCCTGTTCCCTAATGTTGGATTGTACACCATAATCTGTCAACAGTTCATCCTATTAAAATGTGCACAAATTTCTTTCCTTGTTTTTTTTCTTTTTCTTTATGCAGGCCTCTCTTTTAGCAATTAACAACTAGATATATTAGGCTTGTCTCACCTTAATGATCACTGCACTCTTGGAAGAGCGCTCAGGCATAGCGAATGCAATCTTCCAACACTCCAGTTGTCCAAACTATTTTTCATGCAGTACACTACAGCACCAAATGCACTACAATGAGTTAAGCACCTGTTGAAGGCTGGACATGACTTCCCTGATGTTTTCTGAACAACCTGCAGTGCCTGATTCCCAACAGCAGCAGGCTGAGGAAGCTCCTGCTGACCTCCCCACCACTGTCCCAAGGGGAATGAAATTAGTTATACCGTTGTGGGCTGCGAGTCATCATCAACTTATGCCACAGCTGGGATCCAACCCAGGCCACAGGACTCAGCTTGTGTTCAGGACAAATGCCTTAACCACTGAGGCACTGGGACGCCTCTTCTATTGACGTGTTAATCAGTCACATGTGAGGGGGTTAGAATTTGATGGCTGAGGCCAATGACTGGCCATTATCAGCTCACCTTCACCTTTTTGTTGTCTTTTGTCTCTGGTCAAAGTGACTGAACCAGGCTGACGATGACTCCATTCCTTTCCAGCATCACCCTCATTACTGTTCAAAGAATCAAACTGCAGGGAGCTGACAGAGCTGTGGAAAGTGAGGAAGGGTCACAGGACTTTAAAAGGGAAATGGGGTGGAATCAGTAGGAGGGAGAGACGGTCTTGACACGGAGCACTGGGTGGTTTGAAGGTCATATAGTGCTTGCAGGACATTTGTCTAAAGGGACTTTCAGGCAGAAGGGGATCAGGGCCTGTGGCAGTAACTGAGTAGCAGGTCTTTAAAATTTTGGACATGATCGTTTGGCAAAGAGAGCTGCTAAGGTCTTGGTCCAGTTTAAATTTTATAGCATGTCTGACACTGAGAGAGGCTGAAGTTGGGCAGCTGGGAAGTGGTCCAGGAGAGGAGATAAGCTGGTCAAGATGATACTTCTGAAGAGATCTGCAAACAGAGGAAGAGGGAAAGAGTTGAGATTTGTGAGAAGTGAGGATTCATAAGAGGCTATGAGAAGCCCAAGGAATCTGGTGTACTGAAAACAGCATAGGGGATTGATTATAATTCAATAGATGGTAATTAGATCAGCACAGACAAACCTTGTTAATACAGTATGACAATTAAATGTATACAACATTAAATTGAGTTAGTTTTGTTTAATGGTAAACACCTAAATAGGTGCAGTTAAAGTACTGCTTTCTGCTCTCCAATGGGCTGTCACCATTGGATTATATTGTAACTGTTAAAATCACACCCCACTTAATATCATTCTGCAAAGACATTCTCCATTGGTACACAGTATATCACATTTTTGAAGGGCACTCCTCTTCACCTGGCACAGGTGCAGTTCAGATCTAAGTTACAATTGCAACCCCTTTACAGGAAATAACAGAGAATCACATTATAACTTCATGGTCACATATCCTTTTAAAAATATAAAGAAAAATACAAAATGATATTTATCCACATACAAATTCCCAAATCACATGAAATCACAGTTAACCACACTGCACACTGCTGATTAATTCTTCCAAATCATTTGAGTTATGGCTACAAATCATAATAGACCTCAAGCTAGACTGAATTATTTTTTACCATTCAAACTCATTCCTGCGTTTTTACAAGTTGCTTTGAAATGCCGCATCAAAAGCAACTTTGAAAAAAAAAAAAAGATTCAAATCCGTAACTGGTTTTGGTGACATTTAATATTTATAAAGGACAAAGTCATGCCTTTAGATTGCTGTTTTCTCTGCCCACGCATCCATTAAACCTCTGAGCTTTTTTTTTTCCATGACATCAAAGGGAATGCGGCCACAGCAACAGCTTCTGAGGCTTTAATTATTAACAGGCACCTGTGGGTGACCCCACCCATGCCCGTGCTACGGGTTAAGATGCCCACTGGGCCGACGGGCACTGCTTTGTTGATTCAGCGCATTATAAAAAAGGGCACAGACGCAGACCACTTCCTGCTCGTGGCACACTGGTTGTGGTGCTGTGCTGAGCGTCGTTAAAAGCACCTGTTTGCAAAAGAGTAAACAAAAACTCAGGGCTGGATAGTAACAAATAGGTAGATTACATATACCCGCAGACCACTGGGGTTCATTTAAATAAGGTTATGTAAGAGAGTACACTCACTACAACAGTTTGTATCATTGAGTAATAAATTTCTTTCTGAAAAACAAATTCAGTTTAAATTAATGGTGCTTAGGAGGTGAGGTTTTCTGGTAATGCTACTGTGCTGTCAATTAAGGATGACTAAACCTATGGACAGGATGTGCTCACAGCAGGGGAGATAATGACACACTTGGCCTTTTTCAACTGACCGATTGTGAACAGTCTCTGAATGGCTCATACTAGATCTTACAGAATGAAACGACAAATGACTACATGTGTAGTCAGCCAACAGGGGAAACTCCTAAAATTTAAACGCTCCTCTAACTAGACTAGATCCCATATGAGAAAATGATGACAGACATGAATAGTTATGCATATGCATGTGACTGCCTCATGTGGTCCTTCTAAAGTACCACAGGAAAGTTTGGACACAGCTATACTCATCGAGGAGTTTTTCTTTATTTTTACTATTTTCCACATTTTAGAATAATAGTAAAGACATCAACTATGAAATAACACAAATGGCCTTGTGCAGTGATGAAAAAAGTGTTTAACAAATCAAAACAAATTAAAAAATATATATATTTTAGGTTTATCAAACTTTTGACTGGTATATGTATTATTTGGTAGCCATGCCCATCCACAACTCATTAACATGAGATACACTTGTGCTCTGCTCTTGGAAAAGTTGGGACTACAAGTTAAAGACAGTATATGTTACTTACCTGCACTAGACTGAAGTGTGAACAGCCTCCACTGCCCTCCCCAACCAGATTGGCCTCTATTCAATAAATATATGTCACTGTCAATGGACTTATCTTCTGTCAAATCTGTCTAGGCACTGTACTATATGCACAGGGTGATGGTAAGCCTATTATTAACATTTTTACTGTGCAAAAAAAAATAAAACACAACAGCTTTTAAATAGATTTAGCCATGTGTTGCAGTGTGTAAAGCTAAATCCATGAACTTTGAGTTATTTCTAAAAAAATTGGACCAATATATGGCCACTGCAATTTTTCTTTGTAGTCATCCTGCCAATGGTTGCAAAACTACAAATGAATAAGGTTGGTATTATAATGAAGAAAATATTGTCCAGCATTGTTGCGCAACCTCATGTGGATTGCGCTCACAAAAATCAGATATAATCCATAGCTCCACAAGGACAATGGGAAAATTGTGTGTATGCATGTGTATTAAAACATTTCTATGATTGTGTTTAATTTAATGTTGTTGAGTGTGATATCAGGAATAAGAAAAAAATGCAATTTGCCTACACTCCTAATTTGAACAGCATTGCATACATTGTTAATTGTGAATGTACTGCATCTTTAACTGTCAACTGGAGTACTGGAATTCTGTGAATTCACATGTGCCCAGACTGTTGTTTTTGAAACAACAATTCCAGAATCAAACACATACTACACTGGTCACCAGTGAAGATAAGGATAACGAAACCCATTTGATGATTTTTTGTGCGCTCCACAGCATTGCCTTTTTTGAGTAACTGAAACACACCTCCTGCGCTTACTGTGTGACCCTGTTTGAATGCTTTGTGACATGAAGCCAAATCACAAAGTGAGAGGAGTTATTCAGAGAGGGAAACTGTGGAATTGGTCCCTTAAAAAAAACAATGCTGTCCTGTCTCCTGAACATTTACATTTATTCATTGAACATGCCTCTACTGAGCCTTGACTGACCTCTGCTGGTCACAAAATTCACCACACATCACTCAGAGTGATAAAATAGGTCACTGCCATATATTGTCTAAGGAATGAATACCTGCAGTTTTGGTTTACAACAGATAAACTATGTGGTGATATAACTTTGGTTATCTCTGCTGTTGCTCCAATAAATGAAGGCACTAAAATAACAAGATGTTTTCTACAGTGAATATTGCTGCTTTTCATCTCCTCAGCCTTGAGCCAAGAACTGTTCCACAGCAATCATGTCTCTTTGACCGGGGTCAGCAAGACACAGCAGATGCCAGGCAGATTCACCAGTCTTTATATTGTGTAGATGTGGTAATACATTAGTGTGTACTACCAGCTCACCCTCATGACATAAAGACCAGCTGACCTGTGCATGGCCTACTTCAAGTTTTGCTTGTGAACAAGCAGTATGATCCAACATGGCACAGCAATCAGTTCTGGAGCATATTTAATGCAATCTCAATTCTGCACATATACCTTTGTTTGCTATTTACCTCTCTCTATAGAATACAGGTAGTGTGGCTTCCATTTTGTATCCTGAGAGAGTTTAGCTCTAAGGGACAACTTACCCTGATGGGAGCAACCAGATCTTAATACTTATGAAAAAGTACTGGACATAAAAGTATTGGACATACAACCCTGTAAGGGCCTTCAGCTTGGTGTAGTCTTTGGTAGGGTGTATTTTTAAATACTTTTGCCAGAAATGTAGTTTCAAACCCAAACATTGACACATTGTATCACTTAACTATTTTTTTTTAGGAAATCTCATGCCTTTAAAAAGAATTCCAAGACTAGTTTTACAGCACGTTACTAACCTTTTCAAAACAATGAAAATTCAAAAATTCTTGCACTGTTCAAACAGTCACTGAGAAGGCCAGTATAAACCTGAAGCCATTTTCTTCTACATTGTGACAAATCAGAAAATTGCATTCTTAAGTGATGTGGTAAAATTTGCCCAAATTCTTTGTGGGAGTGTGTATGTAATTGTCATCAAAAAAAATTCCACATTTAGCTCAAGATGATCACTCAGCTTGGTACAAAACCCGAGTCCAGACATTTACTTATTTTTATTAGGACTGTATGTAATCTAACTCAATGCATTCAATTAAATATGTTCCTTGACAGGTATGTGCACATAAGACTGGTACAAAATACAACTTTCATGCATTACCAAATTGAAATCTTTATTTACAATTAGTATTGATGCGCTAAATGATTATGTAAATTCACAGATTAAGCCTGAAAAAATCTGAAGCTACTGCACTACTTCTAAGTTACGTCTGTTTTTTTGGTATGTTTATAAAGCTGACATACAACCTCTCTTAAATGTTTACATGGTATTTTATGAACAAACATATTGCTTTTCAATGTACTTGCATTTAACCACTTCCATTTAACATGCATACAATTCAAGTGTTTTTTTTTTAACCCAATGTCAATAACTCAGTTTACTACTGGACCCTGCCTACTAAGTTTTCCCTGAAATCATCAGTCTGTATACAGTTTAATTCCTTGTGATACAATCCTCAGAAACTGAACAAGATTGCAGGTTATTCCT